GGGCCTGGGCACTGTCCCTTAGCTCTTCAGCTCAAGGCTAGTGCTCTACCACTTGAGCCATAGCGCCACTTCCAGCTTTTCTGTTTATGTGGTGCTGAGGAATCAAACCCAGGGCCTCATGCATACGAGGCAAGCATTCTACCGCTGAGCCACCTTCCCAGCCCCCCTCCACTCCCTTCTAAGGCCACAAACTTCCTCCTTAGACCAGCATCCTCTGCCCTCTGGTTCACCACTGTGGACCCGAACTTATACAAACTGAGCGGAGGAGAATTGACAGGTCTCCTGTCAGTTGACAGGTCTTCACAGGGGCTCAGCAGAGCTAGCAGGGAGGGTGAGGAGTTTCTGACTACTTCCACATGAAGCCACAGTTAGGGGGAAGAAGCTCAGGGTTTATATATTTGAGCAGCATATGGCAAAATCTACTCGGTAGCACTCAGGGAGTGCTAGCTTTGAGAGCAAAGCTTCCAGGTGAGGTGTCTCAGGTTGTTCACTGCACAAGGGCACTGGCGGAAGGAGTCCACAGACAATCCTTATTCTGTACACAAGCCCTTGGCATGGGGTTTTATTGTTCCAGGTTGCAGGAAGGGGTAGCTTGGTACTCCGCAGCCCGTGATTTTGATAAGCAACTCTACCAGTTGAGCGCAGACAGCACCAATATTGAACTTCAAAGAGCAAGGGATAGCAACAGGCACAACAAAGCGCGGTACCTACCGTGGAGAGGCTGTAAACAGCAGCACTTTGTGGGCGTAAAACGGTCTTCCTTCCACCAAGAACGTGACGTCGGACATTTCTTTATTGTTAAGAAAATGCGGATCTAGAAGAGGAAAGGGAGAAGGGCTGGCTGTAGCAGAAAACAGGGTGATACTCGGATCCCTTCTTGTGGAAGGGACAAGGGAGGGCAGACAGGGAAACTGGGGCCAAGGATGATTCTTGGGATAGTGAAGAAGCAAACAGGACAGGGTCCACGGGAGGCCACGCCCCCGGGAGGCCACGCCCACCGGCGAAACAGGAGTTTCTCCAGCAACAGAGTTGTTAACAGAGTTAAAAGGGCTTTTACATGCATGAAAGGTGAACGCTGCCCACCCCATCCTCCCTCCTGCTTGTTAGTGTCCAGCTTCCTATCCATAGACCTGGTTTAGAAGAGCTGCCCCTCCCCCCTGTGATTGGAAAACTCAATCTTTCTTTCTTAGGGCCAGGGACAAAGCAGCCTGTCCCCTCCCCACCTCATCTCTTATGGCAACAACAACAAAAAATGGAACCACCATGCACTTACAGAGTCTCAGCTCAGGGCCAGGACCAGCAGGGGTCACAATATCCTCACTGTGCAGTGGAGGAAACTGAGGTACACAGGGGTTGCAGTAACCTCTCCAGGCCAGCATTGGAATCTGGGCACTCAGATGCCATAGCTGTCTGTATGAACATGCAGCTCCTCCGGGACACCTGTCATTTTAGCCTTGTGGACCCCACGCTCCTGAGGGAGTAGCCTGTTGGGGGTATCTGCCAGCCCTTCCCCGTTGCAGTTCCTCGTCAGTCTCTACCCAGCAAGAATCTCTTCTAGGCACTCCCTGCCAGAGCTGGCCTTTCTGATTATTCCCAGGTGTCAGCACCCAGCCTTCTAGTCTAACTGACGCTCCACCTAACACAACTCAGGTAGGGTGACATTGTCTCAGATGCACCGTCTGTGCCCACAGCTCCCTCTCCCGAGGTCACCCACACCCAGTCCTCCATCCCCTCCAGCACCATCTTTGCTCAGGCAGAGGAATCTGGCCTCAGTCCCAGTTTCACCCTGTGCCATGCTGCTGCTGGAATCTGAGATGGGCCATAGGACTTGCCTCTTGGGGCTCCCAGGAGCTACTGGAGGTCAAGTTCCTGGTCACAGCCAGCTGGCTCAGTGCAGTGTCCAAGAAGGATCAGCTGTGTCCCCACTTGCTTTTATGAGTGTATATGTGTGTGTGTGGGGGGGGAGTGTTTTTCTCTTCTAGGTCCCTGTAGAAGGACTTCCATTAGCAAGACACACTTGTCCTCTCATTCTCCTCCGTTCCTCCCTCCCCAGGGAGGAGGAGGGATGCCTCAGAGATGACTTGGTGGATGGGGGGGGGAAGCTGCCATGCCCTGCCGGGTCTTTGAGCAGAATCTCCTCTGTCTGGGACACTCAGGGACCTGGGGCCTGGGTGTGGTTCTCAGTCTGTGACGTGAGGAGAAAGCTTGATCCAGTGGTGGTCTGGCCAGTCTCTCTGTCCACATTCCCCCAGATTTATTTATCACCCAGTAAAAGGGAATCTTCTAATCTCCATCTCCTGTACTGATTTCCTATTTGCCCTCCAGAGCCCTCATCTCCTTCTTCCCCTCTCCCCACGGATTGCTGCCTCCTGGTCCTTACATCGCCAACAGTGGCCAGCACCGATCTGGGAAGTCACCCGGAGTCACTCACCCAGGCGTGAGGTCTGCTTCCGCTTGATCTCGGTGAGTTTGGGGATGGGGTAGGGCCCATAGCAGTGCGTGAAGATGACGCACAGCTGCTGGCTGATCACCTCGTTCTGCAGAGGAGGAGAGAGAGGAGCTGAGTTCCTGGGGGCCGTGGATGGTCACAGCCAAGCTGTCACCACAGGAGCACATCTGCTAGATGAGAGTCCCCACCCCCAACATTTACCGCAGGCCCCACCCCCGGAGGACATGCATGTACTCTGGTCAGTCCTGGATTTACCAGCTTCAGGTCTCATTGTCCTATCTGGTGGGTTAGCTTTGCCGAATACTTACATTCACAATGAAATGTGCAGTGAATTTCACCTGGGCTAGCCCTGGCTGCTTACTAACCATTGGGAAAAGCAGATTTTTGTGGCTTACCAACTAGGAAGTTTTTTTGTTTTTTGTTTAATCTCAAATCGACTTTTATCAGTAATCTCAAATTCTGGAGCAGCTATTTGTCCCAAAATACACGGCAGGAAGCCCCTCTGGCCCCATGCTCCCCTAACAAGCCAAATGGTGGATTCAGCTTTCTTCTGTCTTAAGATTCTGGGGCTGATGTATTTCTGAATGTGGAAGTCATGAGTCGAATCACTTCTCAAGAAAGATGAATAAAGAAAGGGTGAGGAACAACTTCCAGCTGCCCGTCACTGCACGGAGCCCATGGACCTTGTTACCCCTTCTCACTCAGCTGACTCTATTCATCCCCTTCCAACGTCAGTGTGTGGAAGGAGGCCAGCTCACAGCTCTACTGCTTTTTATTGGGCAGAGGGGGTTGAAGCAAAGGGCTAAAGTGGTGGTGAGGGGGTTAGAAAAATAGGAGGCATGCCTATGGCTGTGTGTCTATGAGCCCAACTAGTGTTTGATGAATGTAGGCAAGCAAAAGGGTAAAGACTGCTAAAAACACACGCTTGTCCTGCATCGGTGTTTACCCTGAGGCTGACAAATGAGGGCCTTGGAGTAAACTGCCTTTGCAAGTGAATCTCATCTGCAAAGGTTCTGAATTCACACTGTGGATTCCCAGATGGTATTAGAGTAGTTCTGTACAGAATGGTGCTATAGTTTGAATCTGAATGCTCCCCCACAGGCTCATGTGTGGGTCATTTGGTCCCCAACTTGTGGCACGATTCTTTGGAAGTAGAGCCTGTGGAGGAAGTAGGTCATGAATAGCTTGCCTTCAAAGATTATATAGCTGGCCGCTTCCTGTCTGCCATGAGGTGAGTTGCTTTGCTCTACCACACACTGTAGCCATGAGGGGCTGACTCAGAAACAATGAAGCAGCTAACGATGGACAGACCTGTCTGTAACCATGAGCCACAATCAACTCTCCCTCCTTTAAGCTGTAGAGGTGTTTGATCACAACAACAAAAAGTTGGGGACATCATCTAGGTTTACTTAGTAGTTGTCATTTTGTCCCCAGATAATTACATAAAGAGACTGGATCATTTGTGTGAGGCTTCACAGTTTATAATATATATTATAATATTGTATATTATATAATATTTGTTTTTCTGCTTCAAAGGAGATTTTTGCTTTTGGTGACACTGAAAGCCAGTGTTCCACTGGGGGCTTTGCCACTTCTTGGATGGTGTTTTGGATCTCAGATATTTTAAGAGGATAAAAATAGCATACCCAGAATGATTTTTTTAAAAAGCATACTATTATTTCTACTTCTGGGAAGGCAGAGCAGAGATGCTTTTCTTTCCTCTTTATGCTAACTTACTGTGTTTTAAAAATGGTTTTCCCCACTAAAATTCAGTTCCCAGTGTAACAATGCCCAGGGATGGTTGGGCCCTGAACAGGTGAGCAGTTTGTTAAGAGGGCTGGATATAGTCTTGTGGAGCTAGGCTGGTTATTGTGAGAGTTGGCATAAGTGAGACGGTCTAGTGTGGTATTTCTATTCTGCATGTGCCCATTTTGGCCATGAAGAATCAACCTGAGGCCTTTGGTGGTCTCATGGCCTTGGACTTCTTTTCTGCTAGCTTGTGATCTAAATAAAGTAAGCCTCTTTCCTTTATAAACTAGCTGTACCTTAGATCTTCAATTACAACCCCGGATAACAGACTAAGACACAAATAGAATTGAAAACGCTCAATGTTACTTATAAAAGGAGACTCTAGGAGGTGGAGAGGTAAAAACCAGCTGGGGTTCCAAGCACTAGAGAGGCAATACAGAGATGTTGTTCACTGGGCTTTATTTTGCTGCGTGCATCCCATTCCTGATGCTGAAAAGCAGTGACTCAGAAATGCCAAAGGGCATAGGAATAGAATACCACATATCAAATCTATTCTCTACCTAGTGGGCCAGGGAAAGGCAGCCTAGCAGGGCAGAAATCTGTAGGTAATTAATAGCTGTTGCACTCAGCCAACATGACAGGCAAGACATGCCTTCTACAGTTCACTTACAGAAGGAGGCCTTTATGGTCCACATGTGGAAAGGTGGTTGGTGTGGTTTTCAGTGATTTTCTGTACGGTCCACATGTAGAAGGCAGCTTGAATGTTCCACATGTGGCAGGCAGTCTGTATGGTCCATGTGTGGAAGATGATCTGATGGTCTACGTGTGGCAGGTGATCTATGTGGTCTATGTGTAGAAGGTGATCTGATGGCCCATGTGTGTAAGGCAATCTATATGGTCCATACATAAAAGGTGGCCTGTGTGGTCTATTTGTGGTGGTCTGTAGTACAGAAAGAAGTCTGTGTGACTCATATGTGGTAATCTGTATACTTCACATGTGGTAGTCCGTATGATCCACATGTGGAAGTTGGTCTGTCTGGTCTATATGTAGTAGACAGTTATATATGGTCCACATCTGGTGATCTGTATGGTCCACATGTGGAAGACAGGCTGTATGCTCCCTGTGTGGAAGGCAGTTTTTATGGTTCATGTGTGGTAATCTGTGTACTCGACATCTGGTTCTATGCCCGATTCATATGTAGAAGGTGGTCTGTATGATCCTTAGTTGGAATGTTGCATCTGTAGAAGGCAGTTTGGATGGTCTGAGCCTGTCAATCTTACATATGTGGGAGGTTTAGAGAAGTATTTCCTATGTAAATGAGCTGTTTGAGTCAAACCAGGGCTAGAAGCAAAATGGAGCCTGTTATCAGAAGCTAGGAGAGTGGTAGCCCTTGGGTGATTGACTGGGGGCTCGGGGACTTAGGTATGCTGTGTTTCTAGGCCCAGTGCTGGATCATGGTCTATTCACCTGGAAATTTACTAGGCTTTGTAGTTATGATCTGGGAACTTATCTGTCATACTTTAGATTTACTTAAACCATAGGTTCAGTTTTCTAAATACCCATGATGCCTCAGTAAGTTCTGAAACTGCAACTACAGCCTAAAGAGAACAGACAAGCCCAGACAACTGAAGGAACACAGACCCAGTGAGGCCTTTCTTCAGATGGTTTCTTAGGTGATTTCGGGTGAAAACCTTTTATTCATTTATTTTTAAATCAGAGGGGAAGGAGGTGTTCGGCTTTGAAATGCTCCCAGCAGGCTTCGCTTTTAATGGAGTCACTGAAGCTCATTATCTTAGGGCTAGTGCACCTGCTCCCATGTCCAGTATTTGTCAGCAGCCTGGATGCCAGTACAAACCCAGCCTGCCAGGGTCTGGGGACACCAGGCTGCAGCTGGGTGCTAATGAGAGCACCTAATGAGATTAGCTTTGGACTGGAAGCCAAGTGTTCTGAGAGGCTCTGAAAGCAGGTGGGCCATGTTTTGGTGTCCTCACTCTGAGGGGTCTCTCCTGCTGTCTGGCATGGGCAGCTCTGAACTCCTTCTGTACCCACAGTGGGCAGCCACCAGCCAGTTCAGGAGGGGAGCTTATGTATTCTGCCTCATAGGACAGTTTTTCTTAGGACTTTACAAGTTTCCCAAAGCCCATTCTTGGGGTGGGGGAGGGCTGTGCTGGCATAGAAGTAAAGAGAGCTGGCACTGGAGTTGGACCGTCTGAGTTCAAACCTGGCTATGTATGTCACATCAGCTATGTGCGTCTTTGGGGGCAAATGATTCACCCTCTCTGTGCCTCAGTTTCCCTATCTGTTAAATGGGAGCAAAGAATGGGATCTCTTTCAGAAGTGGTGTGTAAAGCTGGGCACTGGTGGCTATCACCTGTAATCCTAGCTACTCAGGAAGCTGAGATCTGAGGATCAAGGTTCAAAGCCAGCCTGGGCAGGAAAGTCTGTGAGACTCTTTTTTTTTTTTTTGTCCAGTGGTAGGCCTAAACTCTGGGCCTGGGTGCTGTCCCTCAGCTCTTCAGCTCAAGCTAGCACTCTACCACTTGAGCCACAGCGCCACTTCCAGCTTTTTTCTTTTTGCTTATGTGGTGCTGAGGAATTGAACCCAGGGCCTCATGCATACAAGGCAAGCGCTCTACCACTGAGCCACCTTCCCAGCCCTGTGAGACTCTTATCTCCAATTAACCACCATAAAATTGGAAGTGGTGCTGTGGCTCAAGTGGTAGGGTGCTTGCCCTGAGCTGAAGAGCTGAGGGACAGAGCCCAGGCCCAGAAGTTCAAGCCCACAACCACCACCACCACCAACAAAAAGAAGTGGTGTGTGAGGAGCAAATGAGTTTATGTAACATGCTTGAATTAATGCCTGGCATGTAGTTAAACAGGCAAAATATATTTCGAGACAGTGTATTCTCAGAGGGCTGTGATGCTGAGTGAGTTTGGAAAACATTGAATTCCAGGTGTGAATTGGGGAATTGAATGGTCTGCAGAGAGAATTACTGAGAACAAGATTCTCGGGAGAGGCGGCCTGTTCTCCACGTGCGATTCACAGTAGCTGCTGGTGTTAAATGCTTCACTTCCATCTGTCCAGGCCTTCCCCAGCATAGCCAGACACTTGGCAAGCACTCGGTTGGTGTTGGAGACCATTCAAAAGGCATTAGGGTACTCTCCATTGAAGCTTAAATATGTATAGCCATATCCCCATATATACAGATTGCATTTGTCATCATTTCCAGTTTCATAGGAAGCTGGAAGCAGAGAGACAAAAGGTAAGTAAATGACAGCACCAAGATTTGAACCCCTGTACCTTGGCTCCAGAGTCTAGGCACTTAACCACTGTGCTGCATTGACCTCAGCCTGGGTAGGAGGTCCTTAGGTGTGTGATATGGTCCATGGCACAAAGTCCTCAGAGCCTGGTCCTCCCTGGCATTCTCATGGTCAGAGTGCTGGGGCACTGGCCATGTCCTCATCTTGTCTTTGGCTATTGACACTGATGTCGGCAGGGGCCACTGCACCAAGGCTGCCTAGCCCTGATGTCCTCCTTATCACATACAATCGGGTTTCAGGGCCCCTCAGCAGGGAGTACGGCATCTTCAGCTCAAGGCGAGCACTCTACTGTTTGAGCTACAGCACCACCTCCTGTTTTTTAGTGGTTTATTGGAGATAAGAGTCTCACAAACTTTCCTGCCTGGGCTGGCTTTGAACTGTGAGCCTCAGATCTCAGCCTCCTGAGTAGTTAGGATTACAGGTGTGATCCACCGGCATCTGGCTTCCAAAGAGATTATTTTTTTTGTCAGTTGTGGGGCCTGAACTCTGGGCCTGGGCGCTGTCCCTCAGCTCTTCAGCTCAAGGCTATAACTCTACTTGAGTTATAGCGCCACTTCCAGCTTTTTCGGCTTACGTGGTGCTAAGGAATTGAACCCAGGGCCGTATGCATGCAAGGCAAGCACTGTACCACTGAGCCACCTTCCCAGCTCGAGATTTTTGTGTTGGTTAGTAATGGGTCTTGAACTCAGGACTCGGATGTTGTCCCTGAGGTTTTTTTTGCTCAAGGCTTAGCATTCTACCACTTTGAGCCACAGTGCCACTTCTGATTTTCTGGTGGTAAATTATAGATAAGAGTCTCATAGAGTTTCTTACCTGGGCTGACTTTGAATCATGATCCTCAGATATCAGCCTCCTGACTGGTTAGGATTACAGGTGTGAGTCACCAGCACCCAGCCCCAGAGAGATTTTTTTTTTGGGGGGGTCTGGATATGGGGCCTGAATTCTGGGCCTGGGCACTGTCCCTCAGCTCTTCAGCTCAAGGCTAGCACTCTACCACTTGAGCCACAGCACTACTTCTGGCTTTTTCTGCTTATATGATGCTGAGACATTGAACCCAGGGCCTCATGCATGCAAGGTAAGCACTCTACCACTGAGCCACCTTCCCAGCCCACCCCCAGAGAGATTTTTAAGAATGAATCTCAGGGTAGTCCAAGGGCTGGGCTGACACTTGGGAAGGGATGAGGGGGTGGTACATGTCCTTGTTTCTGGTAATGGTGGTGAGCAGGGCAAACACTCAGGGGTCAGAGCTAGGCTCCTCCAACCATCTCTACCCCAAAAGGCTTCTGTCCAGTGCTTGGCTTTTCAGAATCCATCGCAGGGATTTGAGTCTCGTTTATTCATTGGGCCACATCCATTCCCTCTTCCTGCTTGATTTCCATGGTCCCTCCAGGCCTTTGGGCCTCCTAGAGCCTACCTCCCTCTTCTTCCTTCTGAACTTACACCTCATCGACTGTTCCCAGGAGGCACTGTTGCCTACAGTTCCTCACAGGCTATTGGGGTGCACCTGTTGGTATCACCCCCAGCATTAGACCTTTTGAGTCAGAAGCTGTCTAATCCACCTGCATACACTTTGGCTGAACACCTGCACCACAAATGATTTTGCATAAGTAGCTGCAGGTAGCTGGGGTGCATTTCCCACCCCTGGCTGATAGGACAATGGTCTTTCTACCTGAAGGGCTGTGTCAGGCCCAGAGACCATTTGAATAGGTGAACCTCCAGTTCTAACGATCGCAATAGCTTCAGCCCTCTCGTACCTTGCTTGCTTTCAGGATCTCAAACATGAGGGGCAGGCCTTGGGTGATGAGTTCCTCTGTGTACTCCTCCTCCTGGATGGTCTTGAACTCTTTGAGCAGGCACTGGATGAGAGGCCTGCGGTGCTGCTGGAAGGCGATGCGCAGTGACTCGAGCCACGTGTGAAGAGTCCACGGGACACCTGCAAGGGAAGAGGCCCAGGGAGGAGGGGAAGGGGAGGAAGAAGAGGGGAGGACAGGAAACAACCAAAAGGGGAAGCATGTTTTTATCTGGAAGTTGTTTATTTTTTCCCTCCCCCTCAGATGTTAGCAAACTATGAGCTCAAAGGACTGACCTCTGATAAACAGAGCCAAGACTTGCAGAAGTTGGAATTGAAGGTCATAGCTCAATTCTCTGAACTATGAGTGTCTGCTTTTCTGTAGGCTATATCATCATCATCATCATCATCATCATCATCATTCATCATCATTATTGTTATTATGGTAAGACATTACAGAACTTTCTGATATAGAATCACTCCGGGGACTATTGGAATGGTTAAGCATTCTATTAGGTATATTCTATTCCTGTGAGTTTACAATCTCCATCCTCTCTACTTTCTGGGGAGAAGCTCAGGGAAGGGATTAGCTGACATGCCCATGCCCAGGTGATTGTTGACAGCTGATGAAACCCACCAGTGGACTTTATCATCTCCAGCACTGGTTGGGTGGACAGCGGCACCTGATAGTCCCCTCATATGAAACATTCCCACTGGATACTTCATCAGGTCCTCCTTTTTAATGCAGCTCCCAGCAGCTAATTGCTGGAATCCGCTTATCTCCCTTGTGGTGAGGCAGAGACGAAGGACAGCACTACATCTCATCCTGTTCCTAGCAGGTAGACTAATCCTACAAAACAGGCTCTCACCATTAATGGCATATACATCCCACATACTGAACCATCACCATGGAGAACCTATCTCCAGAAGAATGGCATGGAGCTTTCTCCTCAGTCATTTTCTTCCCTGATAGGTCACAGACCCAGTTCCTGCCTACAGATGCTAAAGTGACAGCTTAGACTAGTCTCAATCCCTAGATATTACACAGATGGCTCTGGGCTGGTTCACTCAAGGAACAGTTACCCTCCCTTGCCTTTCTGAGTGGCTTTGGCCGCTGAAGCTCGGTGTGGAAAAGGAGCTGGTGAGGAAAGGGTGGACTCATCCCGAGGGCTGTCCAGCCGCTATGCTGTGGGGGCTCTCAGCTGCCATTCCTCCAGCACTCGGGACATCTGGGATGATTGTTAAATATAAAGATTTCCAGCCTTTGTCCAGCCAGACCCTCAACAGCAGAGCCTCTGGGTGTAGGGCCTGGCAATCTATATTCAGACAAACTTGTCAGGTGACTGGGGCTGAGTTTGGGAATCAGGGTGAGATGTCTGAGGATGGGTTCTTGGGGCATGCGGGGTATTGCTGTCCATGAGGAGAGTGTGTTGGCTTTGCTTAGAATGTTCTAATCAGTGAAGAGGCTTCCTGGGCCCAGGAGTATGTGTGAGTGTGTGTGTGAGTGTGTGTATGTAAGAGAGAGAGAGAGAGAGAGAGAGAGGAGAACGAGAGAGCCAGACAGCCAGAGAGCAGTGCCATGCCCGCTGGTGAAGGTGCCCAGAACTGACCTATGCTCCTGATATCAATTGTGACATCCACGTAGCCATGCTCAGCGCTGTGATACATGGCCTCCCTCAGGGCCCTCAGTTTGGCTTTGCTGTTTCGGCTGGCACACAGAGGGGGCGGGGCTGTCTCTGCCAGGTCAGTCCCCTCGGCCAGAATCTCCTCCAGGGACAGGATATCGCTCTTCTCCTTCTCAGGCTGAGCGAGCAGTTTGCGGAACACATTCCTGTCAATCATAAACCCAGAGAGGAATACACTCAGAGATGGAAGCGGTGGGTTGGGGGTGTGGTGTGATGGGGGGAGTGGGGATGTTGCTCCATCTGGATGAGGGAAACCAGGGTGATGGCTTCAGGGGCCGGGGGCTTTGGGGATAAAGGAGATGGTGGGATGTTTCTGATCATGTTTCCTGGAGGGCAAATGTTGAACTATATCTAGAAGGTTCTAGAACTCTGCCCTGACATTGAAATCTGAGTTACCTAGGGTGATGGAAAACACATCTGGATGGGGACTCTGAAGGAAATGTAGAAGGGGAATAGTCAAACTGGAAAGGTTGTGTTACTTTACATGGATTCCTGTTAACTTTGTGGTAGCTGACATCTGGTGTGGCCTGGCCCAGACTGACCAAGAGTGACCCACCTGTGTGGTTAAAGCTGGCTGGGAATGAATACACAGAGCCAGCCTGTGTGGCCATGTACTAGGTAGCCTCGGCCCTTAGTAGAAAGCTCACAGGTAAGGTCACTCTAGCCAGATCTGGGGCCTAGATCCACCATTGCGATTCTACTGGGCCCTACATCCAGAGATATAACGGGTCTGGGGTAGGCCTGGGAATCTGCATTTTTAACAAGCACCACTTGGGACCTTGAGGCCTTGGCCCATCCTAGCCTACCTGTGTCCATGGGCTGCAGCCTGGCTGAAAGAGTTCATGTCACCCTGGGGGGTGGTAGAAATTCCATTCCTGTACATGGTTCCTATTAGGGGGTCCGCACCACGCTCCAACAGCAAACTAACCAGCTCAAAATTTCCTGCAAGCCCAGAGAAGGGGGTTTTTATAAGTGAATAAAGCAAAAAAAAATCACTGGCAAATCAGAGATCAGGATATAGAAGACCCCTGGCTGGAGTAAGAATGGACAACATACCTACAGCAGCGGCAAGTTGGAGGGGCGTCTCTGAGTAGTTCTCCTCACCATGCTCCACCGAGCCTTCCACCTTGGCCCCAGCATCGAGGAGGAGCTGCAAAGGAAGAGCGGCCACTGAGATGTGTCAAGGGCACGCATCGTGAGGAGGTTTCCATAAACTGGTGGCCATTGGTGCCAGGCCAAAAATCTTTCCCTCCCTCCAGGTCAGGGCTGTACACAGGGCTGGAGGGCAACTGGACCTGGGAGGATGAGCTGAGGGCCTCTCGAATCGTCTAGAACCTCAGCCTATCTACCCAGTGTGGTCCCGGCATAAGAGCAGCAACCTCACCTGAGAGCGTGTTAGAAAGGCTGCCTGTCCGGCCCCACCCCACAGCTGTGGAAGGTTTTACAAGATCTCCAGGATGTCTACGTGTACACTAAAGTTTCTAGAAGCCCAGAGCTAGAAGTCGTGGACACCAAAGTGCTGGAAGATTCTCTTGGGTTGATTACACAGGCCTCAGTGGGCACTGGAGTGGCTTCTTACAATCATGTCCTCAGGACTTCTGATGATCTTTGGGGTGTGTGTGTGTGTGGGGATATATGTGGTCAACCAGAGTGAAAAATCCATCCCAGAGTCCAATGGAGGGAGGGCTGTGAGGACAGGTTAGTGAAGACTAAGTTTTCTGGCCAACAAGATGAGTTCATAAAAGTGGTAGAAGTTCCAGAAGTTTGGCTTCATGACTCCATTCTGTTGTATTCCCCAACATCCCAGAGATACTTAAAGGAGACAGAGATTCTGTCCACGTGGATCTAACTCACAGTGAACATGCTGTCAGCACTGCTGATGTAAAACAAGGTGAATCTGCCATCTTTACCACTTCCCTGGGGCTGCTGGGTAGGCTCAGCTTCCTTGGCAGCCACTCACGGCCAGCTGCACCTTGGCAGGGAGTCAGCCTGATTTCTGCGTGCCACTGTTCCTGACTGGAAGTCTAGAGATGTCACTGCCTGTTAAGGGTGGCATCTGTGTCCCCCTATATATCTACCCACCCCTACTTTCTTAAGTCTTTTACCGGGAGGGAGGACTGGATATAATATGCTACAGGCCGAAACCAGCTCCCTGGGGGACATGCCACATACTCAGCCTCCTGAAATATGACTTTGGGTCTGAGTTAAGGAGTCTCCATGACCCAGTAAATGACAAAGGTTCCTGCGAGTTTCCAACATTGCTAGGCTATTGTTCCCAGCCTCTGCAGCGTTCAGAGGCATGGGCTATGTTAAGGAGCTGAGTTCCTGGGATCCCCAGGCTCAGTGCTCACTCTGGGGCCAGTTGTGGTGCAGATCGGAGAGCGCTGGTCTCCCTTTTCAGGTGCAGTGAAGACAGAGTTTAAGACCTACAGTATAGTGATGCCCGTTCCTTGACCATTAAATCTCCAACAGCCAGAAGTGTCAGCGGCATACATTCCTGTGTCCATAGGACCTGAAGTAAGGGCCTGCTACCATATGTGGAGCTATTTCGCATGCCATGGCCTTGTTCAAGACTCTTGCACCAACCCAAGCCAGCACCAATTGGAAACACTCCCTTGGCCATCTGCATGCTTCTTTCTACTCGTTGGAAACCATTAGATTCTACAGAATAGCAGGCCCACACCCAAGGGGAAGATGCTAAAGGCAAGTCTCATGTTCACATTACCAGAAACCAAGTGAGCAAATCCACCAAGTCACAGCCGTGGCCCCCACCCCAGAGCCATCGGAAGCATTAGTGGGTTTGCTACTTTGTGTACGAGAATGCATGTGGGTACCTGATGATTTCATATTGGTTAAAGCTTTGCCAAGAGAGGGTTAGAAGAATGTTTCTATTCAGATGAGATAAATATGCCACACAGAACGGCAATGAACCAATATGAACCTCGTGGGGGAGGTGCATGCGGGGAGAGGTTTAGACTTGCATCGCAGAGGAGGTTAGAGTTCAAGGGTCAGATGTGGACAGGGAAGCACATTAATACCTGAACTACAGGAATATGTCCATGCAACACGGCAAAAGTCAGAGCCGTCCAATGGCGGGTCTCGGGGTGGACGGATGGATATTTATGAGGAGTACTGACAACCTATAAACAAATCGAAGTTATTTTCAAAATGTGACCTTCACATCACTCAGGCTATCAAATCTGACCTATTTGTGGCGGAGAGCATGGGCAAACATAATCTGGAAAGTTCCTGGCATAATGTTGGTGGAAGTGATGGGTGGGATTTTCCCCTATTGGAATGCCCCCCAAATTTCTTGTCAGAGCTGAGGACAGGGGCGGGTAGGCTGGCCCTTATGACCTTGCTTGTAACAGTGATCTTCTGAAGGCAGGCCATCAGAAGACTGTGGTCTGGAGAGTTTAATCTAGAAGGTGGTGACGCTATTTCTCAGTGAAATAAAAGGCTGCTTTACTTCTCTGAATGGCATTAATGCATATGCCAGGGTTGGTTAATGGTTATAGCATAGTAATAGTACCGGTGGTTACCCTAGGTCAGCTCCTCTGCCTCTCTGTCCTTCTTTCTGGTCCTGAGAGTGACTGTCACACACTTCTCATAGGTTCTCAGCAGGCAGTGTGAGTTCCCAGACAATGGACTGTGCACTTTTAAGTTTTCAGGCCAGGAAAACCACTGCCTCTCTGAGGGTGGGACTTCCTGTCTGCTCACAGCACCCTTATTGGCTCAGTTCACCCTTCTGCTGGCTTATTGGTTGATAAGGACCCTCAAGTTTCATACCCACGGGTATGAAACTTCCACTGGACACACCATAAGTGAGCAATGTGAGATTGGTTCTTTTTCAGCATGGAGGCCTTGTAACACCCCAGGCTAAGAGACAGAGGGCAGGGAAACCAAAAATTGGGGTCTTGCAAGATGAGCCCCCAGATAAGGCTTCTCTTTCTGGCATTCTTCAGGGCCATGCAACCTTGGCGGCTGCAGTTCAGCCCTGATGCTGGGGGAGATGCTGAGTGGAGGTGCATGGGGTGGGCTAGAGAGGAGGGTCTGGGGCCCTCTCCATTGAGGACCAACACCGAAGTGTCATGGAAGGGGTCTGGGAGATGCTTAGGGGCTCACAGCAGGGCTGGCTGACAAATCCCCAGATATTTGAAACTTGCAAGACCCCAAATGGGTCTGGATCCAAGACATGTCTATTACATGATTTCCTCAGATGAATATAAAACTCACTCTTCTTTTTTTAAAAAATCGTATTTTAAGCCTGAGGGGGCATCTGATTTTGGACTGAAAAGGCTTTCTGAGGTTACTGATTGATGGTGGTGGAATGCCAATCTCTCTGATGGCTGCACTTGCTAATACTTGGCAGAACTGGTATTCAGGCAGTAAAGAGTAAGATTTCTTCCTTCCTTCCTTCCTTCCTTCCTTCCTT